ACATATCACTGGCTTAACATATTAAGGCAATAAGTCCCAATTCCAAGATTTTCCAGGAGAGACAAAAACAATCAAATTTTTTTTGAATAAAGATTTGTATGTTGATTTTATTTGGGCAAAGGCAAAATGAACAATAAGTATTTGCGGAGGTATACGCCTTTTTTGTTATTTAGAGCTTTTTCTGTTGCGAACAGATATCGATAATTTTTTGTAGGAGGAATGGACACTCAATGAGAACTCAAATCGATTGAAAAACGCACCTAAAATTCCCAAATTAGCGAATAATGGGGGTAACGAAATATGGGGGCTATTCCTAAACTTGGCGTAATATTGATACTTTTTGTAGGGAGATTTTGTACCCAATCAGAGTCCCAAATATAAAACCAGTAAGGAAAGCTCAAAAGTCGGACGAGGCCGACTATATGATACCCTTCACCACTATGGGTACATGCAAGACCTGTTAATATCTACAATATCCTGTAGATATAGAAATGTCGCATACATCAGTCGGGAACTATTTCAGTACTCTGTGCAAAATTTTGTCTCAATCGGATAAATATTGACAGTATGGAGCTTCATTTACATAAAATGGGACGAAACTATATATAGCAGCTATATCTAAATCTGAACCGATTCCAACAAAATTTCACATACATCAGTCGGGACCTAATTCAGTACCCTGTGCAAAATTTTGCTTTAGTCGGACCACTCTTGGGAGTTTGGTGCACTATTTACATTAAATCGGTCGAAACTATAAATCGGAGATATATCTAAATCTGAACCTATTTCAACAAAACTTGGCATATAACTATCTAGACCTAATACAATACTCTGTGCAAAATTTTGTCTCAATCGGATCACTATTGGGAGTTTGGTGCATCAATAAGTTAAAATCGGACGAAAATATGTATGGGAGCTATATCAAATTCAATAGGGTTCGTCCTTGGGCCTATTAAGTGACCTGTGCCAAATTTCATCCAAATCGGATCATAAATGGGACCTATACTTTGTTAACAAAAATACATGGACGGAAATGGAAATCGACTCAGAAAGTGATTATATGATATCGATTTTTTCCCTACCCCTAAAAGGGGGCAAATATTAAACATTTTTGGGAGGGAGGTTTGTTACCATATACGACTACAAAAAACCAAATTACAAAAAATTTGGTTGAAAAACGCGCTCAAGAACCCCAAAATACCGAAAATTGGGGGGTACCCTTATATGGGGGCTACCCGAAAAAAATGACCTATATTTATAATTTATAGTGGAGAGATTTGCTACCTAATAAGAACTCGACGTACTAAATAACAGTCAATTCGGTCGAAAAATACGATCAGAACCTCCAAAATACCAAAAATTTGGGGGTACCGTTATATGGGGACTACCAGAACTGGACCTATATTCAAAATTTTTAGTGGAGTAATTTGGTACACAATAACAACCCAATGTACAAAATTTCAGAGAATTCAGATATAAAACGAGCTCAAGAACCCCAAAATACCGAAAATCGGGGGTACCCTTATATGGGGACTATCCGAAAAAATGAATCTATATTTATAATTTTTAGTAGGGAGATTTGCTACCCAATAAGAACTCAAAGTACCAAATTTCAGCGAATTCGGTCGAAAAATGCGATCAAACCCCCCAAAATACCGAAAATTGGGGGTACCCTTATATGGGGACTATCCGAAAAAATGGACCTATATTTATAATTTTTAGTAGGGAGATTTGCTACCCAATAAGAACTCAAAGTACCAAATTTCAGCGAATTCAGTTAAAAAACGCGCTAAATAAACTCAAAATACCGAAAATTTGGGGGGTACCCTTTTATGGGAGCTATGCCTAAACGTGGACCGATTTTCTCCAATTTCAATAGGGTTCGTCTTTGGTCCAATTAGGTGACCTGTGCCAAATTTCATCCAAATTGGATCATAAATGCGACCTGTACTTTGTTAACAAAAATACATGGACTGACGGACAGACAGACGGACATGCATAAATCGACTCAGAAAGTGATTCTTTGCATATTCTCAAAAGGTACCATGGGTCTATCTCGATAATTTTTGTCTGTTACAAACATTTGCACAAAGACATAATACCCTGTACCACAGTGTGGTGAAGGGTATAATTACAGGCAATTCGGTTAAAAAAATGTCCAAATCTACATTTCCAATTTTGGGGATAAAGTTACATGGGCGATAGCCTAAAAAATGGAGCAATATTGATAATTTTTTGTTGAAAGGTGTGCTACCCCATAATTCGGCTGAAAATCATATACAAAATCGTCAAAAAAGGTAGACTTAAAGTCTTTACATGATGTTAAGCAGGCGACATGTTATAAATTGGACTAAATGAGGTAACTTTATTTTCATTTTTCAGATCGATTTATTTTGACTTATTATACCTAACTGTATCAAAATATATGTATATTGACATATGCAGTCACATCTTATGGGCAATTAGAAAACTGTATGTGTTACATATAGTGACTCGGACTCCAAATAACGTCAAACCTTCCGTCCAAACAAATATTAGCAGGAAATCAGCTTCCTCTTACAAAGGTAACAACAAACAAAAACAGGAGCTTATGGAAAAATCCTGAGCTTAAAATTAACCCGAAGGACGAAAACCAACATGCTCTAAATGTGTTGCTTCCAAGTTTAGGTAGCTGCATAGAAAATCAGTTATGGCATGCTGAAGACTGATAAACTCTCGAGAAAGAAAATAGCATGCAGAGAAATAAGATGGAAACGAGAAGAAAACAATCTATAACATATCATCTGACTCCATCGCAGAAATAATTCATACACAGTCGGTCCAGAATGCCGTTGGAGTTGGAGCATTTGGTAACGGGGTTCGCGGTTCTCCCAGACAAAAATAAAAATATATGTATGTTTTGCCCAGAGTTATCCTATAATTCGGAATTATTAAACTACTATTTGGACGTGATTTCCGTTTTTATACCCTCCACCATAGTATGGAGGGTATATTAATTTTGTCATTCCGTTTGTAACTTATCGAAATATTCATTTCCGACCCTATAAAGTATATATATTCTTGATCAGGGTAAAATTCTAAGACGATCTAGCCATGTCCGCCCGTCTGTCCGTCTGTCCGTCCGTCTGTTGTAATCACGCTATCTTCTGAAGGAATTGAGATAGGATGCTGAAATTTTGCATAGGGTTGTCTTTTGTCTGCAGGCAGGTCAAGTTCGAAGATGGGATATATCGGTCTACGTTTAGGTATAGCTCCCATATAACAGTACCTCCCAATTTTCGGTATTTTGGGGTTTTTGATCTCGTTTTTCAACCGAATACGCTGAAAATTTATACATTGAGTTCTTATTGGGTACTTAATGTCTCCACAAAAAATTATAAATATAGGTCCACTTTTTCTGGTAGCCCCCATATAACGCTACCTCCTAATTTTCAGTATTTTGGGGGTTTTGATCGTATTTTTCCATCGAATTGGCTGTAATTTAGTATTTTGAGTTCTTAATAGGTACCAAATCTCTCTACAACAAAGTTATGTATATAGGTACATTTTTTCGGATAGCCCCCATATAAGGGTACCCCCAATTTTCGGTATTTTGGGGTTCTTGAGCGCGTTTTTCAACCGAATACGCTGAAATTTAATACATTGGGTTCTTAATAGGTACAAAATCTCTCCACAAAAAATAATAAATATAGGTCAATTTTTTCGGATAGCCCCCATATACGGGTACCCCCAATTTTCGGTATTTTGGGGTTCTTGAGCACGTTTTTCAACCGAATTCGCTGCAATTTGGTATTTTGTAGTCGTATATGGTAACAAATCTCCCTACCAAAAATTATTAATATTCGCCCCCTTTTTGGGGTAGTCCCCATATAACCCCCTTTTTTATATTAAAATAGTTATCTGATTTGTTGCGCGTTTTGGGTTTGGTTCTAAGACCCTTTTGTAATCATTTCAACTGCGGAGGATAGAGAGATAAAAAATTAGAACGTAAGGTTCGGTAGTGAACTATAGCCGCATTTAGACCTAGCCCCTGATTGGAGGTTCCAGAAGGAGTGGACCGATATTCCCCATCTTCGAATTTGAACTAAGCTTGGAAGAAATAATAAGATGGGCAAACTTCGGATGAAATCTAAATTTTCTGAAACGGATTTGGTCCAAATTTCTATGAGGCACATTTGCATCGTGTTAAAGTGTATACACCCTCATTAGCCATAAGGCTGAGGGTATAATTATCCTTTAAAAATTTCGAAAATTTTTATTATGGTTTACATAATCCGTTTTTAGAAATGTCGGTATAGGTCCACTTTTTGGTATGTTTCCTATATTTTCATTTATAGTACCTGTCAATATAACTATGGTGGAGGGTATCCAAAGTTCGGCCCGGCCGAACTTACCGCTTATTCACTTGTTCCATATATAATAGTTTTTCAAAATGAATTGTATGTTATGGATTTGTTGTGTTCCAATTGCGTGGAAAACCTCTCTAGGTCCCTAATTTTATAATTAGATCTAGTCCAGATTACTATATCGGATATGGAATTATAACTTAATTTTTCCTTATTTCTCTCAACATTCTTTTTACAAACAAATCGTTAGAAAAAATATTTGTTAACATTTTTGTCCACAAATAAATCTTCAAAGGCCGTTGATATATTTGCATTTGTTTGTGGTCTAAATGAAAATAAAAGTATATCACACAAGCGATTTAAATAATCTGGAGAAAAATGAGCAAAATGGCGCCATAGAAATAAAAATAAAAGGTGGAGTGCTAATCTGACATCAAAAGGACAAATAAATTATTGTCATTGGTTCAACGAATATACAGTATTCCACAATTTATAAATTACTTTATTTATTTTCAAACATATATATGTAAATACACACATATAGATAAACTTCCATATGTGTATAAAAATGTTTAAAACAATATTGTGCTGTTCGATTTAAAAATAAAACATTAAAACTTTTGATTTCAGGGTCATCACATCGAATATACATACCGAAAACTGAAGAGCTTCTCAAAGAAATTGCGTCCCATACTGGTTGTTGTCATCATTGTTTTATAAAATTCCATAAAATGCGATTAATCAGCTATTTGCACGAAAATAGAATTTTCGTATGTTTGTAAATTATAAAACGAGACATGAATGATGCAGATCATTCAATATTTTCCAATTTTATTTATTTATTGTTTTATTATTTGGTAATTTATGTTTATTATTTTATTTTATTGAGAACATTTAGAAAACATTTTTTTCTGCAAAAAATGAAAATACATTTGTCACAACAATGCTTTTGTTTTAAACAAAGACATCGAAGAAGTTGACGATCGCATGACACAATTTCAAAGTAATTGATAAACACTTTATTCGCACAGACACACACGCACACTTATATATCTGTGTGTACATCCATATTTTATGACGGGCAATGAATTTAATTAAGTGAAAATTTATTAAGATGACAATATTTGTGAATTTATGGAATATTTAAGAAAAAAAAAAACTAAAACAATAATTTGGGACATCGTACAATTAAGATGATTGATTAAATATTTTGGTTATTTCTCACATTGGTGTTATTTGAGTTATTTTTTTAATATAAATTTTTATTCACTTTGTACTTTCATTGACATGATATATTTTGTCTACTAACACTTTTAATTTCAATTAGAACAAATATTCAGAATTAGGTTATGGACCTAGTTTTTATTTTGCTTTCTAAAAATCTATTTTTTGTAATGTTTGTCTAAAAATCATCAAATTTGCCGTAACGTAATAGTCCATGCTTCCAATTCCAAGCCCTGCATAACACGCTTCATTTTGGGAGTTAAATGGACGATAAATTTGGCGGAGTTGAACATTTCAAAACATGGTCGTATAGTATTATTGGTCATCCTGGAGTTTTTTAATCCTATGCGAGAATGAAATAAGAAAACTAAACACACTCCGCTTGAAAATTGGTGGTAGAAACTTAAACTACCCAAAATAAAGTAGAATATATGTATAGGGTCTATATAAATATATGAACATTAGAGCCGGCCAATTTTTTGTCGATTAAATCCAGCCGTTGGGATAATTCTATGGATAATTTTAAGCAACTTTGGTGAAGGAACCACATGTCTATAACATCATTTAGATTCCAAATTCGATTTTTTATTCATCGAGAAATTCAATTCTGATCTTTTTTTTTTTTTGCCAGAGGGCGGTTTCATGCATATGTTAACTATTTTTCGTCTATTTTCTGTGCAAAATTACAAGGGAAAAAATATTTTTTTTTGAAAAGTGGGAAGCTCAACATTTCGAGATTGACCTGTGGTTCCTTCACCAAAGTTGCTTAGAATTGTCCATAGAATCATCCCAGCGAATGTATTTAATCAACAAAAAATTTGGCCCCGCTAATGTTCATATATTTATATAGCCCCTACACATATATTTTACTTTATTTTGGGTAGTTTAAGTTCCTACCTCAATTTGCAAATTGGCCCGCCCTAATGGACATATATCGAGAATGGACATATATCGAAATAAGTTTTATTAATACATCTATATTACAGCCACTTCATTTAGAGGAAATATTTTTTTACTCGGCACCTATATCAAAACTGTTCTGCAAAAATATATTTCTCGATCCAGAACTAATATTATAAAGTGACACCCCTTACGGTTAAAAGGAGGCGGCAATATTTCAAATACAAAACATTTTAGTAATAGCAGCAATGTATGTGAAAAAATGTTACGCTTCGTCAGACAGGCGGACCAACAAACATAGCTAATTCGATATAGAATAACGCCTTCGCCATTTATATGAAGAGGACATTAAATAATTACTTGAATTTCGGGATGTTGTCCGTAGGGGCTGTCGCCTTTTCCGTATCCCAGTGGTTTAGGGCTATGCCAGTACACGTTTTCATATAGCTATAATATTGGGATAAATTTATTCTAAATTGCCATATTTTTTCTTTTTATCATTCCGTTTGCAATAATTCGACATATTCACCGGAGACCCCACGCCTGTCCGTCTGTTGAAATCACGATAGAAATCGCAATTTTTAAGATAGAGCTCTGAAATTTTGCACTAACATTGCTAGTTCTCCTAGGTTATTTGGTATTGCAAATGGGATGCATCGGTCCACGTTTTGGAGTAGCGCCATATAACTGTACCCACAAATATTCGGTATTTTGGGGATTTTGGATACGTTTTCCAACCGAATAGGCTGTAATTTGGCATTTTGGATTTTCATTGAATAAAACATATCCGTATTAAAAATTTTTAATATTGACCCAAGTTTCAGGATGGCCCCCATATAGAGGTATCCCCCAATATTCGGTATTCGGTATTGTATCACCCATATAACGGTACTCGTTTTTCAACCGAATTGCCTGTAATCCGAGATTTTGTTTTGTTCTCATTGTTGGCAGCAAAAAATGTTATATATTGATCTCCGTTTTATTATAGCCCCATATAGCGATATCCCCACTATTAGATATTTTGAAAACTTCAATCATCTTTTTCTCACGCATTTTTGGTATGTTCAAGGTCCTCTTATAACATGAGATTTCTCGTAGAAGCCCCCATTTAAAAAGTTCAGCCGGGCCGAACTTAAAATCATTTTTATTTGTCTATTTTATCAATTTTAATATCTCATCCTCATTTTCTTTTAAAATTATTTACATGTTGTCACAATTTTTGGAGTATTCAGTTTACGATTCATAAAACACACACCTATTTTATTTCAATATTACAATAAACAATACGAAAACTTTCTTCTTATCATTAACAATTTTTTGACATTGCAAAATGCTTATTTATATTTATTTTTTCCTTCATTGGTAAATATTTACGACATTTCATAAAAATTATTGCCAATAACATAAAAATCGAAACGCACACACACACACATCTTCTTGTTTACTTTTTAAAATTTGTTAATAACATTATTTTATCATTAAAATGCTGAACGATTGTATTTTAATCCATGTTTTATGATTTGGCATTAACACATACGCACACATATTAAATATTGCTGAATTGCATCAATGGTTAGTTGTTGCTTATGGACCCGTATGTGACACAAATGGAGATCATAATTTTTGATTCAGTTGATCCATGACAATCATAATTTATACACATTAACACCATATTCTTAATCTGTTCACAAACACACACACAAGCATACTCTTTCCAATACACGGTAACATACAACAGCAACCACTTTTCAAATATAAATTTCTTGAAACGGAAAGCAACACCAACAAGTTGCTGAAAATTACATTCATTGCCCCACTTGCACAATAACTGACCGGGTGTTTGATGGACTTGGGTCACAAAGACGGTATATTCATAGCATACGGTAAGTACCGTTGTCAAGAAAAGAATTCACGACACTCTTTCTTTTCAGAAATGTAAAAGAAATTCTTTTTAATTTTATCATGAATCATTGGCACGCAAATTCGGGACTTCGGTCATACTTCTTCATGTATGAGGTATTGTCGCCTTATTACAGCTATCCAAAATATACAACACATTTTTATGTATGTATGTGTAGGTAAAATGTGAGATAAGAATTATTACATGTTTCATGTTTTACTGTGCGACATAAACAAAACGCATAAAAAATAAACAAACCGGCCGGCCGACCGACTGAGATGATCGCACGTCACTTGTGAATTCTTTTTGCTACCAGTCGCTCAAAAAATAAAAGTCGCTTGGTCAGTCAGTCAGTTAGTCTTTTCGTTAATGAGATTCAGAATTTTCTTGGTTCTTCGTTTTGGTGTTGTTTTTTGTTTCTTTTTCGCGTCGTTCTATCTTTATTTTTATTCTTATTCGGTTGTTGTATGTAAAAGAAATAAAAAGATAGACGTCAACGTTGAAAGCATTCGTTCGGTTTGAAAGTTTTTCGGCGACTAAATCTTACACTAATGATCCAGCTAAAAATTTCTTAGTTCCATTGGATACTTTTCATACACATAAACTCACAAACACACACACATACAAACGAAATCAGTCATTCGGCAAAAGAGACCCACTGAAGCACATGCATGAAAAAAGAATACCCAGCAAACATTTTTATATGATTTCGTTTCAATAGAGATCTACAAGGAGACATTGTTACTGTGTCCTGTACTTTTTAAATTTGTCATTCCGTTTGCAACACATCAAAATATTCACCGGAGACCTCATAAAGTATATCAGAATAAAATATATGCCTGAAAATCGGTCTGCTATTGAAATCACGATTGGGATCGCAATATTTGATAGAGCTTTGAAATTTTGCTCTTGCATTGCTATTACTCCTAGCAATATAACCATATAACGGTAGCCACAACTATTCGGTATTATATTTATACATTTTCAAACGAACCTGCTGAAATTTCGTACGTTTGATTCTCATTGGGTATAACATCTTTCTACTGGGTGGCCCCCCATATAACGGTGATGTGACAATTTTTTGGGATGATACTAAAAATTTGAAAAAAATCTTGCAAAAAATTAAAATAGCGAAAAAAGAGCTGGGCGCTAGATTAGTTTTTTTTGTGCTAATCGTGTTTAAAATCTAGCACCAAAAGTGCTAAATTGGCAACACTGATCACTTGTTTCAATCAATTTGGGAGGAAAATAATATTTTGGATTCTCATTGAGTTGAAAATGTCCTAATAAAAAATAACCCATGTTTCCGTGTAGCCCCATATAATGGTAACCTCCATTATTCGGTATTTTGAGGGGTTTTTGGCACGTTTTTCAACCGAATTGGCTGTTATTAACAGCAATTTTTATTTTGAATTTTCATTGATTACAAATCTATCTACCAAAAATTTTCGGCAATTTAAAGACATCAGCGGCATTTTCCAATCGATGGGGCTGTTATTTGGTATAAAGGCTTCTGGATGACTGACTTATATAGATATAACCCCACCTAGAAGTTTCGCTTCTTTTTTGATATTAATCGCCCGACTTTTTTACATTGGAGTGGCTATAATCAGATTGCTGGTGAATAAAAACCAGTAAGGAAAATAGTAAATTCGGACGGTGCCGACTATATGATACCCTTCACCATTCGGACGGGGCCGA